TAAATTGATTGAAATAAGATGGATCATAATTTAAAAAATAGAAAGAAAATCAAATAAATTATAGATAAAAGAAAAAGAGAAAAAAAAAATAAAGACAACTCTTATTTATTATTTTTCATTAACACATTTTAAAGTTCACACCAAAAAAAAAATCAACAACATATCACACTTTTTTCTTTATATCTAATATTATCAATATATTTTTTTAAAAAAATATTGGCAAATTTTTGTTGACTAGTAGAATAGTTAATTTTTCATAATAATTATGGTTTGTCTAATAAATTTTTAATAATTTAATTAAATAATTTTTTAATTATATAAACTAAATAATATTTTTTTTGTGCCCTCTAATAATGAGACCATGAGCAATCATCCTACTAACTTGTGTTGTCACTATACATATATACTAAATTATATATTTAACTTTTTATCTTATTTTTTATATTTATTTTAATTTTTATTCATTAAAATATTTATTTTAGTCTTTTATATTTTATATTTGAATTAGTTTGTTCCCTTTGAATAATGATTATTTTCAATTTTATAACATGATTTTTAATCAATTTTTTACTAATTTAAAATGTAAAATTTATAGCATTAGATTCACTTATATGAAAACTATGAAATGTAATTGACATTTAAATCCAAAAAAACTATAAACAAAGTGAAAATCATGTGAAAAATGTATTTTATGAACAACTAGAAAATAATTTAAAATTAGATCTTTTTAAATCTTTGATTTTAAATATCCATGGTTTGAAATAAGTTTCAACTCTTGAATCCGTTAAAAAAAGATTCAAAATAACTAAATTGACCTAAATTTAATAAATAAAAGACCAAAATGAAACTCAAAAATAAAATAAAGGATCAAAAGTATAATTCAATATATACATACATATACATGTGTGTGTGCGCTCACTTACTTCAAGAGTAAGTTTTAGTAGATTTTATTCACTCAATAACTTATTATTTACATTAAATTTTAACGATTCAATCATTAAATTAAAAGTTTTTAATTTAAAAATTATTAGATACTTCGTTTCATTAATTTAAATCAATAGATATTTATAAAAATATGTTATACGTTAATTTAAATTTATATAATGAAGTATCATATACTTTTTAAACTTTTTAAAAATTTGTAGACTTGATTTATATATTAAGAAGTTATAATTTGTAAACTTGATTTATATATTAAAAATTTATAATTTGATTTAGTTTAATTTTTTTATTTTTAATTTTTTTTATTTAAAATTAACTAAAAATATGTAATATGATGTTAGTTGTTTCAAACAATACATCAAAAATAAAACTAAAAGTGTACAATACTAAAATATTTTGATCATTTAATATATTTAATATTAATTCTTATCTTATTATTTTAGTAAAAATATTTTTTTAATACAATTTTAGTTATCATATTCAATATTTTTTTCATCTACATATACATAT